AGTTATACTATATTTTAAGTTTGCATGCTTTATTTATAAAGGAAAACATGATGATCTTTTGTAACTGTAACATCATGTTTTACAAAAAAAAATGTCTTTATCTTAATGGTGGGATCATCTATACACTTCCAGCTAGGTGGACTGAGGATATCCGCCTGGTAGTGGTTGGATGAGAAGACCTGTACATCGAGCTCAGTGGCGTGCAAATGGAGAGACATATGTCCAAAACCAGCAGTGGACAAAATGAGGCTGATAATGATGATGATATTAACCTTAGTCTCCTGTTCCAAGTCAGCAGCTTTGACCCATATCCTCACACTATGCGGCAGGTTTCTCGCAGCGTGGGCAATGACAGCGCGGGCCGTGTCTCTCGGTTGTAGTCGCGCCGCTTCCAACCACAATTCCTCACTACTCGGATTCACTTCACAACCCTTCATTATCAAGTTACGGGCTGACTGGACCTTACCTGAAATATAAAGGGATGGATTTTATACAGCTGGTAGTTGTAATTTTTAAATCGGTAATAAAATAAAAGTATCTGTACGTATTTAATAATACCTACATGAATATTGCGTTCTTAGTTTTGGATCAAAAATAACATAATTATTTTTTGTAACTTAATTAATAATTTGTATCACTTTATAATTAGTGATATTACGATAACATTCTTTTAATAGAAAATAATTTAGCAATTTTCAGATGTCATATTTTTTTTACATTGCTCCCACCGTCACCTATTAATTTTTCCTGTATCGGGGGTGCTTTTACAAGCATATAATTTTACAAAAAGATCACACCTAAACCCGGAACAACAATTTGTGGATCACACAAAGAATTGTTCCGTACGGGAATCGAATCCGCGACACATTGCACGGCAACCGGTTGACCAGATACCGTATCAACCTTGCAGTCAAATACAATAACTCATTTGGAAGTGTAATTTTTCTGTTTCTTTGTTAAAGAATTGAATGTATCATTTTCAGGTTTACATTTTTTATACAGATTTTCAAGCATGGGGATAATTGGTTCAAAAGAAATGATACCATGTCCTTAAAAATATCTGGCGCAAAACAAAGCTCGCAAAGTGTTATAGAAAATACATTGTAACAATTAAGGAGTCAAAGACACACATACCTGTTACTTCTTCCAACCTCGCACTAGCAATCCAAGCAGGAGGATGGTTAGGATTCGTCTCTCTAACAGACTTCAGCAACAATCTGGCCTTCTTAATATCATTAATATCACCTCCATAAGTAGGTATCATGGACTGCAAGTCCGTCAGATAACCCTTCGGATCCACCACAGTTTGTCCAGTTACCGAGTCTGATACTTGTGACAGTTTCACTGTCATCAAAGTGTTTCTTGCTTGACCTATCTTTCTTAAATCCAGGTCACCTAGAAATGAAAATAAATAAATTGTAAGAAAGCATTTTTTGAGTCCATTGTATAGGAATTTTATTTTTATACATATAATACAGTTTTAAAATTAAAACCCACATGACATCACATCATCAGCCTACTTCTGAAAAGCATACGGAGATTTTGAGCATTAATCACTACACTTGCTCAAGGTGGATTGGGGATATCAAACTCATAATTTGAAAATATTAGTCAAGGTTTCTTCACAATGTTTTCCTTCACTGTATGTCAGTGGTGTCTAAATAGTAAATAATTTTAGGAAGTACATATAACTCGGAAAATTTCACATTGGTACTTGCCAGGTTTCGAACCCTCATGCATGACAAGCACACGACTTAACCTCCAGGCCACCACAACATTACAAAAAAAGATAATTGTACTATACCAAAAAGTTTCACTGATTGCTCAGAGACTTTGTGAGCCAGACTAACATATATAAAATAATCCTTACCAGATGGAGTCAACATTCCCGGAGTCATTACTCCTGGCATCATTGATGCAAGACCAGATCCAGGGTCGATAGAGGAAGATGATTCTCCACCCAAGTTTCTAGACAGTACACTATCAGGTAATGGAGTGAACTTCTCTGCTCGAGGGTTTCTCTGTTTCCTGTTACGAGCATCACCAACTTCAGGAATTGCTGACCATTCATCCTCTGACACCGATTTCAATTCACGTTTCAAATCTGAGAACTGCTGTTGAATTTTTGGTCTGAAAGTAACAAATAAGTAGTAATAAGGTAAAGTTGTATGACATTGTTGAATTTATTATGAATGACAAATGGGTGTAATGTTTGTTATTTAGTGTGTTTCATAGTTTAAACATAAATATCTAATAATAAATAAATAATAATATAATTGTTTCAACCCTTCAATTATTAAAAGACGGAAGGTGAAATAGATTTTAACTATAGAATCCTATTGGAAAAAAGGTTCCATTATTTATATGACCTTTGACATATCAATGATATGGCGTCATAAGCTGACAGAATACCTGCTGGTTAGATATTGACACCACCCATCTACAACCATAATAGCCTTTTGGGGATAAGGGTTTTTTTATGTAGTGTCCGACCGAAAGTTCGATTTCGGTTTCGGCCGAGTTTCGCCAAAAAATGAAGTTCCGGCCGCAGTTTCGGTTTCGGCCAAAATCGGATTCATGAAACTTTTGCTGAAACTGAAACTTATTTGGCCTAAACCTTAAGTTCTTGTGTTCTTGTTGAGTTTCTTGTACTTAAAAGAGACTGATTATTCTTGTAAGTACAAATACAATCCAAAGTATTAAAGGGAAAGATCTCAAAATACCAATACTTAGTATTTAATGCAACAGTGACAATTACTGATTTGATTTAGATGACTGATTTGACTGAAAGTTTAATTTGAAAAAATAATAAAAATGTTATACATATTTTTAAATGAATACAACAAACCTAATATAGTGTGTTTCCATTTCATGCGGATATAAGTGTGGGAGAGCCATGCTTCGGCACGAATGGGTTGGCTCAACTGTAGTGATACCACAGCCTCACATAATATTTGGAGATTTAGAGTAATAGATGGAAGGGGCAAGATAAGGTGTCTGGTAACAGCCCTCAAACATATATTAACATTGAAAGTGGTACAGTTATGAAACATCAATTCAAAAGTCTCACCTCTCTTGACGGTATCTCTCCAAGTCTTCTTTGAGCCGTTTCTCTCTGTATTCCTTTCTCTTTTCATCCATTCTTTTGTCTATCGACTCATATATAGCATCAGCTTCAGCATCGTCTTTGTCATATGGGTCCTGCAAGGAGAAAATTTACATTATATGTTATGTATAAGGACTATGGAAGGTATTTTAAATGTGACCTTCTCATGAAGTATTTAATTTTGGTTTGAGATCATATTAATACCAACCATCTTGCACCCAAAGAAGTTAGAAGCTTGTTGATTTTGGAAATTCTATGTTGTTTTGTTACATCTTTAATTGTCATCAACAACAATGTATTATTATTATGATTGGGTGTACACAAATTGATATTAATTACAATTCACAAGGACACAGCTGCAGCTGATAATAAAACAAACCTTGGAAAACAATGAGCCACTATATCCTGAGAATTCATCATAGTTGGAGTCATTCAAATCTTCATCATCATCTTCTTCCTCAGTTTTCTTACGTTTGGCTGCAGGAGGGGCGTGACGATCGTCACTGAAAGTGAAACACAATTTCTTTATTATAAACATATTAATTTGTTGTACTAATAATAGGATTCTTCCTAAATTCTGTTTTAAAATATACTATAATGTAATACAATAACATAGGTTTACTTACGACACATCGTTGGCATCTCTTGCGGGACCGATATCCGACCGTGTGGTGAAACCAGTGGCTCTGTAAATGAAATTAAACAGTTTTTTATATGGCCCACTTTATAAATGTATCAAGAAAGATATATAAATGATAACGTACCCTCGACCAACACCAGCAACATAACCTAAGGGTGCTGGGATGCCCAAGAAATGTTTTTTGTTTTTGTTTACAAACGCCTGAGGAGGCACCGACATTTTTGATTCAAACACTGTTTGAACACTATATTTATAAGAAGATTCTTCAACCAACCACTTGTTTCTGATAACGTTACTACTAAGTATACACTATTTTAAATTAAATTTTACTTTACTTTCCACTCGTACACACTCTAATATTGTCGATTTTGACGTTTATTGAGTGTCAATTCTATCTATTTGACATTCAGCTTTGAGTGTTGCCAACTTTGATTGTTGATAAAAAAATGTATCGGCTTTTTTGTTCAGAGAAAATAAAACCGATGTTTTCCAACATAACGTAGTTCCACCCTCTATATAAAAGTAACTTCGATGTCTATGTCTGTTGCCTGTTGCCTAGCAACGAGTAGTTGTATTTTGAATAAAAATTAGGAAAAATAGCCGAACGTCTTACTCTTGTTAGCATTTCGAGTCATTTAGTTATACTTGTTTATTATTGGACTTGCTAAAGTGCAAGACACTGTTAACATCATGGCACAAAGTTTGGTTGCAATAACCCAAGATCTTGGTTCGAACGATAACAGCATATCGACTAAAGAATTTTTACAATTTGAAAAGACCTGTGAAGCGTATAAGGATGATGACGAAGAAATTAAAATGATTTTTAACGAAATTAAAAAATTATCGGCAATCAACAAGCCAGATAATGTAATAAGTGAAGACATTGATGATGTTGATTTCATTTTGAAAAGGGCTGAGGATATTGCTCAGGAAACTGAAACTTTATTAAAAACCAGTCCTAAGTCCACAGCAAAAAGTATCTGCAGTCCAAATAGAAGTGAATTAAATGGTATTCCCCAAATTAAAGTAACAAAACCATGTGAGACTGAAAAGGATGTGTCAGAGCACAAGGAAAATAATACAAAAGTAAGTGACTTTTATAATGATTTTATTATTTCATTTTGCACCATAAATGCATGATAAACCTATATATATAAAACTTTTCTCCATGTTAAAATAAAACAAAAATGTTCATTTTTTAATATTTATTCTTAAAAGTACACTGCTGAACAGCATTACAATTCTTGTATTCAGCCTTCTTTTTTTTAGTCTTATTTAAATTATGAAACTATTATCCTAAGTGCTCATTGTTTGTACATTCATGATTAGGAATGTTTTAAGTTTTAAATAAATAATTTATGCATACTCAGTATGCAATACACAATGTTACATTTTATATTTTGCTCAGTTGCCTGGCTAAAACTCTGACACCAGCTATGTTTTCTCTAGCTACCGGTTCAATATAACTTGCTGGCAACACAAAGCCATAGCGGCCAGTGTCACTCAGTTCTATTGTGTAGGTATACTTGATATTCAGAGACTTGGCCCAATCATCTGAGCCTCCCGAAGCTGGGTAGAGTAGTCCACTAGATGACCCAACTTGGTAGTTTGACCCTCCAGTATTTCTGATAGCCTGAAAGTAGAGCACAAACCATTTACTATAAAATCCTACCAATATTATAATGTGAAAGTTTTTAAGAATGTATATTTGATTGATTAATGTAGGTATGTTTGTTATTTTTTGTGCAAAAATATCTGGACTGAAATTAAGTATACAGATAGATACACATTCCAATCTGGTGAAGCTATGTGCGGAAACTAGTTAAATAAGCCAGCGAGACCAAAAAAAGAAATGTTTTATCACTGTCTCTTACCTGAGCTATGAGCTTGCCCATGCTTTCAAGGTCCTTGTGGTCTGGTGGCAATGCATTGTCATAACCCCACGGGTACAGCAAGTACTGTCCATAGCTATGGTATGTCAAATAGGCTGAGAATTTGACTGCACTGCTCTTGAAGAAATCCTGTACAATAAATAATAATAAGTTTAATAATGCCATATGTTTAGAGTTTAATTTTCAATGTTTCTAGGTGTGTTCTTGCAAATTATTCTTGTCTCTTAGGGATTGCAGTCTCTGATATGCATATTTAATCACTTAGGTTCTATGAAATATCTGGGGTAATTTTGTTAAAAGCACTGCCTTTGTGCTTGTATTACCTACCTCCTGCTTTTTATCATAATGAAATCTATCTATCATAATACTATGTAGGTACCTATGTATATATGTATATGTAGGTATTTAGTCTAATAGACCCTACAGTTTGAACAAATGATTTTTTATATGCTAAAGTAATTTCTTAACTATGATGAAAGTAGGTAGGTAAGTATTTAGATATCTATTTGGTTTTCAAAACAGGCAAGATCATAGACACGAAAATTCGATTGAATTGAGTTAATTATGTTTGATTTGGTTGCATTCCCCTATTGGCAATTTGAAAGGATGAGTCACAATATCGGCAGCGCGACCCTTCACCTTTAACAAATTCACCCTCGTCCACCCTATGTCTACTACCCAATTACAACCTACCTACCTTCTATCTCTATAATACGACAAAATCAGTAGGTACCCAGTTTAAAACAAAGTTGCTTTCTCTGTCCCTATAAATATAAATATACTTACATATACATATACATATACATATACATACATAGGGATCGATATTTATATATATATATAAATATAGATCCCTATGTACGATTAAATCTTTAAAAGTACGCAACGGATTTTGTTGCGGTTATGTTCAATAGATGGAGTGATTGAAGAGGAAGGTTTATATGTGCGTTCAGTGCGTTGCACCCTTGCGAAGCCTGGCGGGACTGCGGGACACTAGTTATTTGTTATAAGTCAGTTGTAAACCTAAGCAAATAACAAAGTTGTGCTTCTAAAAAAGTCTTTGGTCATTAATTGTAGGTATGACTGACAGCACGGTCGGCGTAGTGACTACTGTTTTTCGTAGGTTGATAAACTAGTTGGAGTTGACTAAACACATTTTTCTAGAGGATTGAAAATAATTACAAATTAAAGACTTATGTTTGAAATTTTCTAAGGTCTAAGGAATCATCCTCTTTACCTTTCAAAGCTGCTTATTTAGCTCCTGAGTGAAGCCAATAGTACAATAAGTATTATTGCCTTTTTTTACACAACATCAGTCACTTACGTTAATTGCTTTAGATTCTGGCTCAGAGAACGGTCCACTGCCACGGTAAATGTCGCTGCACGGGTAACTGGAAGCACCTTTTCCTCCCCAGCGGTATCTATGTCAAAGAAAAGCTACAGTTATTTATCATTATTTAGTGCTGCATCCATCATTATCATCCTAACTATCCAGGTTGATTTCACTATACGCGCTGTACTATGACGCTAATAGGCAAAACTGAAAAACTCCCGTAAAGAGCTCAAAGGCAGCTCTGAGGCACAGTTGGACAAGAGGCGAAGTTAATAGCAAGTCCAGTTACAAAACAAAACGTAAGCTCCATTACTGATGCTACAGGCATTGATAATGGACATTAGGACAAATAGTGCTGCTAGGTCTAGTCTTTAATTGCCCAAACATCTCGCTTAGTTTGTGCATACCTACAGACTTCTTGCTTGCACTTGCAACAAGATCTTAAAGCCATAATATTCAACCTAATCAAGGAAAGTTGAAAGTTAATTTTCCGTGACAAAACCAATAGTTTCCTAGGTATGAACTTTTCTCATTATTTGAAATAAGCACGTCATGTCGTGTACACTGTACAGGGCCACAACAGTTAGCCTTGGCACAGCAGCTAACTAGGTCACTTTTGATGAATAGGTACCATTACCTAGACATTTTCCCTGATTCCATCTATTTCATTGCACTTTCTACCAGATTGAACTGGTTACTAGTGCAAAATTGAGGGTACGGTATGTTGGAGTAAAAAGTTTCAACGGTTTCATTGGTAGAGTCTACATGAAAGACAAAAAACTATCTTGTTTAACGAGCTTACCCAAAGTTTCTGTTGAGATCTGTGCCCGTACAAGAGCTGGGGCCATATCCGAATTTTCTATTCTTACGCCATAGACGATCAGTCTTATGCGTGTACTCATATCCATCAGGATTTACAACGGGCAAGAAATACCTAGAAACAAATTATTGATTGAAAAATGACTTTTATCTGGAAAACCAATAAGTATTAAAAAGGCTTAAAACATAAAAAATATATTAAGTACCAGTCAATGTTCTTGATGTCATCGGATTCGACGTCGAAGTTTTCTGCGAATTGATTGATGAAGTAAGTGACGACTGCCGGACTGATCCACTCGCGCGCATGAATACCTCCGTCAATAAATACAGCTTTGTTGTTTGGTTTTCCGTCTGAGATTCGTAACATCTAAGTGAAAAAGGCTTTGGTTACAAATTATATAGAATAAAATATAATCACATTTTCATTCCTAAAAAAATTGATTTGCTGCATCTTAATTCAACAACTAACTATCTGTTATAATTTAATTATGTAGGTACGTCGTTGATATAGTTTGATGCATATTTATACAAAGCCTTAAAATAAATTATTAATATTTATTTCTTCAAGGTAACTAGTACCTTAAGGTCGCGTCCTTCATGAGATTTTCCAATAGTCTTCACACTGACGATAGAAGGGTAGGTTTTTGCCAAATAGTCCATAAATCCATGAATATCTTCCAGTCTATGGTACTGCTTCCACGTCATACGGTGACCTGAAAAGAGATAGTACATTAAAACCTAAGTGAAACAATATCTCATCTCAACCGTCATCCATAAACTGCGTTAAATCACACGAAACTATCGACTTGCGAGGCGTCTTGTTTTCAGATTAGTGACGAAAAGAAACTCCTTCCAAAACGTATAATTTTAAAACTGTTAGGGAATTAATAGAAGAACAAACTGTTAGATAATATCCAGATCCAAAAAGTTAGACACTCCATGTGAATGCAGAACTAAATTCATTAAAACATATAAGTGCATAACAACAGTGATTCGGTGCCGAACAACAACGAACCCCAATTCGCATTTGGCCAATACTCCATGGGAAGGTTGAGAGAATTGTACCCCATGTAGGCATTTATGTAACCTAGTCTGCGATGAGATTTCCTGTAACGCCAAAAATTGTAAGCTCTAGCTGGAACAAAATTACATCGACCCTTGGAATATTGTTAATCTATCGTTAAAAAAAAGGCTCATAATAGATCACTTGATTAACAATACGAACCTCTTCTGTCTTGAAGCTCTAATTCATTCTCATCCAAAGGTGGGTTTTCTTCATTAATTCTTTGTTGTAAATCTTCAATCATGACATAGTATGAAATGTCTTTTGTTTTTAAAGCCGCTGTCACGTTTTCCAGAGCTTTTGGTTTTACAAGGATATCGATTGATGTGTGATTTCCACCCCATGAAGCTATTACTGTAAAATAATTAAACTTTATTAGTATTTCTTATTTAAATAGAAAAGTAAAATTTTCTAACTCAAATCTTACGTTTTTCAGAAGCCAGTTGGTTAATAAGTCGTTGAGCGTTATTTTTCATAGTTGAGACTTTCCATACTTGGGCGCCCGTGTAATCGATTCTTTCGACTACATCGTCTAATGTCTCTACAGGCTTATCGTCATCAGTAGCCTTTTCCTCGTCAATAACTGCGGGAACAACTACTTCTTCATTTTTAGTGACTCCGCCTACGGTAGGCTCGGGTTCAGCCTGATTATAGGGTTGTTTGACAGAGCTCCTTGTGGGCCATTCTGAAAGAAATCATAATACTCAGTAGGTCACACGGTAATTGCGATTACATGTTCATTTTTGTGTCTGTGTGAGATCGTGACTTGATCAACGTGTATTTAATTTGCACTAATGTCTCTTTTTGCTGCCGCGTAAGTAATTTAAAATATGCATAGGTAGTACAGTCATGTATAGATGGTTAGATAATAAATGCTTTTGTCTTTATTATTTCACTGCGGCTGTGCACAGTATGATAATTGTTTTACACAATTTGCGATTGTGTTTTATGAATGGATCGTATTATATTGTTGTAGTAAGGTCAATTTCAGTTGTTATATTTTAAATAATGTAGCTTTGGAAACTCTCTGGTCTTGGTTTTTACTAACCATAAACTTCAAAGTAGTACAACCAAGATGATTCGCTGAGTAAAATATCAAACGTTTTCCTGTTATTACAAAACATTAAATGTGAACGAACTGTATTTTATTATTAGTTAAGAACACGTAAAAGGTGTGAGCGATTTCTATAATGATTTACTGCGGATACGTACACTCGCACTATATGTTTCAAGTTTTTAAGTACCGATAGCGACACATAACGAATTGATAATGGAATAGATTAGAATGCATGGCTCGTGTCTTCTGTGACATGTTTAATGACTTTCTCTGGCCGCGGCTTGTTTTCCATTCGTGGCTGGCCTGATCTTGGTCGGTCTAACGGTGTATATCGAACTTGAACTGAACTTACCCAAGGGTTTCCGCGACTTTCAATATTATATTTTGGTCACGCGTTTCGAAGGCAACATTGTGCACTGAATTGAGATGGGCTGAATAAGTAATGACCATATAATAGAACAATGTATATTATTTGCATTGTTCTCGTTCTAAGTTTTTTAACTTTAAATAATAGGTATTCTTAAATTAACTATCCAGTAAAATAGTGGAAAAAAGTAAGTTGGGTCAACTGAATCGACTTATTAACCGATATACTTCAACTTATTTTTTTTTCTACAAAATGACAATAAATTTTAAATAATATTAAAAAAAATTAAGCCTGTCATACCTTGTCCTGGCTGTAGTTGATTGATGAACGGAGTACATAACACGGAGGATGCGACGCACAGGAACACGACTGTCTTCGTCAAGGACCCCATGGCTACTGACGGTGCGGGCGCTCTGCCGCAGGTGATCACACTGATGCGTTTGCGCACATCGATTGCCTCTTTTAAGCTCCGATAAACAAGCCGGTGCTGATAACTCGAGATACAAACTTCGCTTAACCAGATTTATTAATACAGTGTTAATCATGATGCACTTAATTATAAGTATTCTGAAAATTGGGTTCACGTAACTTGTTTATAGTACCTTGACTTCACTATTGATAGTAAACTCTAATTATATGCTCACACATTTTGAAAGCCCTTATATCTTTTTAAGCCACAATGGTGTTTGGCTTTGTTTGAAAAAGTTGGCGGATTTCGCACATTTCTATATTATCTACTTCTAGAGCTTTATTGGTTCCTAAAATATTTGTCTTTAAGTAGTTAAAGACAATTATTTTTGTAATGGTGTATAAATAATAATTTTAATTAAATTCGTATTTGGTCAGTCCATTGAATATAGAAAGATCCAATGGAATGTTGATAGTGAGGCATAATTTTAGACACTGGATTAAAACTGTATAGGCAATAAATAATTATTTATTGTTAATATTTGTTTAAATATTTATTTTAATTGATAATATGTTTGTGTCACTAATCTTCCCCAACTTCGGGCAGAAGAAGGAGTTGTTTAATTACAAATTTTAATTAAGTACTGACATAATCAATACATATAATCGCATTCTCATTAAGTGCTAAACGTATGATGCTACTCGTTTTATGCCCAAAAGCTCTTAAATTTTATTCTTACGCATTAGATTTGGATCAGTGTTTGCAAAAATGCGTCATATTGCCTATAGGTAGAGTATTTGTTTAGAACCAGCCTGACAACTTTTCTCTCGACCTGCGCGGGCGCCATGCCCGGTCGTTGCCACCAAGTTGCAGTTATTTAACTTTGATGACAAACTTTGTTTACCGTAAACACGTTTTTAACGATTTATTTATCTAATGGTCATTTCACGGCTACGGCTCGGATAACTTGTGCTTAAACTTTATCTTCATTGGTCTATCACTTAGTGTCGATTTATTATTTGTGTACTAAATGTGCCATGCACAGCATGGAAGGTTATATGAGGTCATTTATCCATATTGAAGTTTCTAGAACCTATTTTAATAAAGCATAACATTAAGAAAGCTGTGAGGTACATACTTGTATTAGTAATAATCGTAAAATGTGTTTGTAGGTTAACCAGTATGCTAAACAAAATGCTAAGGAAAACACTGAAATACGGCGTAAACCAAAGCTAAGGCCTTTCTCCGCGGGCGTCATCGATTCGAAGAAACGCGAAACGAATAAGATTACAAAGTCAGTTACAAATTCTCCAAAAAAGACGGCAAATTGTAAACATGAGAATTTGCTAGAAGAATTAAAGGATACAACAGAAAGAGCCAAAAGCTTAGAGTTGTTGAATGTTCAACTTAATGATGACAATAAAGCGTTAAGGAAGAAATTGGAAGTTGTCACTGAGGAGAAACATGTTGTTGATCTTAAGTTAGCTGAATGTGAAAAGTTTGTAGGTAGACTAAGTAAGGAATATGAGAATAGAAGCACAGAATTAAAGAATATTAAGGAAAGTGAAAATAGGATACTAGCGGACCTTCAAAAAGAACGGAATGATAGGAAAAATCTGACCATACAACACGAGAAGGACCTAGTTATCATACACGATCTGCAACGCCAAGTCAAAGAAATGGAGATGATATTAAGAAGAAAACATCCAGACTCTGTGTCGGCTCTAATAGGTGAGTCACGTTCTATTTATAGTCTCGGAGCATCATGCATGCAAGTCACAACGTAGTATGTACTTCCTAAGACTCCTTAGACACCATCCACAAGTGGTGAAACATCGTGAGGCAACCTAACCTTATAATTGCTAATTAAGTTATAAATCGCCAATACGCCTTTGACAAACGTGGTGGTTACTGTTCGCTGGTGATATTATATTTTTGAGCGGGGAAAGCGCCCTGGAGAGAGGGAGTTCCCGTCTCTTACTGACCTGTTACTTCTCCTGCTTCGGGCTGAGGCCAGGATACATTATTGTATTGCTTTTACCTCTAACCCCCTCTGGATTTCCGCCCTATTAGCCCCTCCTTTTGTGGTCTGGTGGATCGGGTTTTAGTTCTGGTCGTTAGGCGAGCTACCCTTGCTCGCCGTCTGCAGACCCGTCCTTAGGGTGGCCGGAGATTGTATTACAATTACCGGCGCCTAGACTGTCTCCTGCTTTCCACATCCGGCAAGTACCTGGTCCCAGTCACTCTTTAAAGAACTGCGGTACAACTGCGGTAACAGTGAGTCTGGCACTCGCTTGATAGGCTGGTGGTGAAAATACTGAATATTAATACCCAAAATAAGATTTTTATAAACTTGAATCTTTACAGTGGCTGCAAAGTCGTCAACAGTGGAAGATAACAAGAAAAAGTTATTAGAAGAACGTATTGCCAGATTGGAACAAGAACTCAAAGACAAAGAGAATCATTTTCAGGGGATACTATTGACGTTACAAGAAAAGTTTGGAGATATGAAACAAAAATACGAAAGCCATATTATAGATGTTGAAAGACAGCTAATGGATGATCGAAAAGTCAATAGTGAACTGAAGAGCAAGTTAAATAAACAAAATCTAGTCGATTCAGCTACTCAAACTATAACAAAGAGTAAACACACGGTATCTACACAAACTTTTATTAAACCAGATAGGGCATCATCTGCAGTAAGCAGACTGTCACAAAATTCAGCTTTAATATTGCATAGACTAAAAGAGGATAGTTATTTAGTAGCTACCATAAAAGGCCTGCAATCCGAACTGACGGTCAAACAACGAACCATTGCTAAGATAAACAGAGAGACTGAGGAATTAAGGAAAAACTTACGGAATCTACAAAAGGAAAAAGAGGGTATGTTTGAAAACACATAATATATATTACTTAAAGTTGCGATTTTTAAAGTGTTTTCTTTTTTTTGTAATCAGTTGTTTCTTTTTGTTGTTGACAAACAAAAGCAGCTGAATTCATTTTTACATTTCACTTTTACATTTCGTGGAACCTCTGGTTTAATTTACATACAATAAATTACTGACTCGTCAACCGTGTTGCTTACGTGTGCTTTTCACGTAACATTGTTGGAATATAAAGCGTTAGCTGTGGCTATCAAAATTTTTCGCAACGGTATCTCTATGTCAGTGGCATTCGCGCTAAAACTTTGACTCATCTTTTTCTCATAGTTTGCTTGATTGTCAATGGTAGTTAATGGAATTATAATGCGTTTCCTTTGTTCAATTGTAGATCATTTTAAATCTAGGTGACGGGGACATTGAAACTGGCCCTAATAATACAGGATATAATACTATTACTAAACTGTAGGTTGTCAATACAGAAGCTTTGTATTCTGTACATATTATTAGGGCTGATGTAATAACGGGTCTATGGAAAATTTAACGACTTGTTTCTTTTAGTGTTGCTCAATCTGCATCCACACAAGAAAACTACCAATAGAAGCAAGTCGACAGAGAATATATTGGCAAGGATGAACACGGAAATGGAAGCCGAACTAGCGGAAATAAGGACACAAAAGGAAGTGCTAGTACAAGAACGGAACACGTTGCTTGATTCATTAAAACGTACGAATGAGGAATTCATATTGTTGAAGAAGAAACGGATTCAAGATGTAAGTCTTTTTTGGATTTTTTTGTTGGATCTATTTACAATTTAGGACCTTACATAAGTGTTAATATTGTGTAGAATAAATAATCGGTTCTTCAATATTTTGGATCGTGGTCACAAACTTGTGGCTATGAGACAAGAATTAGAAGTAAGACTGACATTTTTATGCAGGAAATGGACTGTAGTAAATATTTTGAGGTTAATATACTTAACTTTGTTTTTTTTGCGATTGCGATTGCGAGTGAGAGATGAGAGATGCGATTTTAAACTCACAATGGTTTGAATTAGGTCACTCAAAATAAAGCAAGCAAACTCTTTGGTACCTACTTTCCGCACGGGCAGTTTTTAGGTCTCTTTCTTGTTATAGTTTTTAGACCTAGAACGATCATTCAGGTTAACTGTTATGAGTAAAATGAAAATGTAGAAAAGATAATAGCAGTATTCTTAACTACGGTCAATGCTCCAGAATTTCATTTGAAAGTTTTAAAAGTAATTATTTATTTTTTACCTGTCTATAGGTAGTGGTCCTAAGTGGGTATTGTGGTCGTTGTTATGTGAAAATAAATATAATAATAGGTATGTCTTTTCCAATCACGGGACCACCACGTCCCGGTCATTTGGGAGACGTGCGAGGAGCCTCTGCGCATTTGCATTTGTTTAGTTGTCCTAAGTGTTACAGAGGTTGTCGTTTTAAGAAAATAATGGATTAATTATTGTTATTCCAGCTGATTAAATCAATAAACACTATCGATGACCTGTTTTCTAAAATATAATATTTTAGAAAATTTGCAAATTTTTTATATCTATTCGCTGATATTCCTTTGGGAAACGCAACCATTGTACCAATTCTGGGTTACATGCTAACACTACGAAACCCGGACGTTTTACTCTATAAAAACTGTTATTTCATACACGCGTAGCTTCATTAAATAAATAATTTCAACAATATTATGCCACATTTAATACAATGAGGTTTTGTCCGATGAAATATAAATTTTCACCGCATTATTTCTGGTTCGTTGACTGCAGTATGAATGATATTGCTATTACCTATATCACATATAAATACTTTTTTAAAATCCGTTGTGTTTATGAAAATAGTTTTTCGTGTTACATGTTTAGGTTGGAATTTATTTGGCGGGTTAACTTAATTAAGAAATAGTAGGTACCTACAGCTAGAGCCTAGATATAATTGTGTTCCGTATACGGAAAGCTGTTTTTCTTTTCATTTGTATTTTTTAACTTCAGAATTACAGACGAGATTGATGGATACAATTTGCCTGTATTCGCAACATAAATGACTCAACATTGTATATCAAAACCTTCTTAAATATTTTAATTCTCCTTTTTAGCTTCATACTCTACAACTAGCACACGAAAAAGAACTGATGCAGATGAATCACCAAGTCTACCCTTTGCAAGAGGAGATCAAACTCCTCAACAAAACGGTGGAA